CATCTGATTGGTCCATTATGAACCAATCAAATTTTTGCATTGAAATCTGCTCCCAACATTTCTCTGTCCAATGGTGAAAACCGCAGGTCTCCAGCTGTTTCCATTCTGGAATTATTCAAAAAACAACCACGCGCACTATAATTTGAAACCGATAGTAGAAACAATTTCTCTTTTTTTTTCTTCAGGTATATATAGCTTATTCTCAAATATTCTTTGTTGCTATGAGACACAGTTTTTTTGTTTCTAAATGTTTACATAAAAATCATTCATATGATGATCAAGTTCACTTACCAATAGGGCAATTTTCGATTAAAATATCATCAATACCAAACCAAACTGATGGATTATTTTTCTTATTTGGTAAATGTCGAATTTCAATATCAATCTAAAAAAGAAAAAAAAAATCTTGTATATATATAAATGTTTTATTTTAGACTAATTTATTTTATACGCGAAATTCTTCTGCTGCTTTAAATGTAACATTTCCTTGCTGCCAAATAGGATCATTATATTCTAATGAATTATTTATATTTACTGTATCCTTCCATTGACCGATAGAAATCATTCGTGTACGATTTTTTTCAATAATATAAATTTCAATAAGATCATTTTCATTTTGAATACTATATTGAAATGTTAATCGAACATCGAATGAACATAATGAAGATAATTGTAACCATGATGACATAATTGCATCAGTAAAACCAATTCGTTTATCTTCTTTACTTTCAGCATCAGCAATTAAAACTATAAGAAATTTTATATTAGACAATAAATAAAAGTTTTCAATTGAATACCTTTATCTCCATTATCTAGACTTGTAATATGCCATCGTCGACCAATACTCCAATTACAAGTACCAAAAGAAAAAGTACATAATTTATTATATTGTACAGAATAGACAAGTTTTATTATTATAATCAATATCAAACCTAAGAAAATAGAGTTATATGAAATCTAAAAACAAAACATAATAAATAAGTCTTACATATCTTCATCATCAATGCTAATCGAACAATGAATTATTTTTCTTTTTAATGATTCAACGATCCAAATGAATATATATATATATGTACATAGACAAGCCGACATGTTAACATTCATTATCTCAATTGCTTTCTATTGACATATGGATCATGTAATTAGTCGACTGACGTTACAATGAAATGATAAGAAAAGAAATAGATTGTTTCTTCTAAGCAACCATATCTGTTCTCTATTTGAACTTTTATTTGTGTTCAAATCATTATGTTACAAATAGGATAATGTTGATAGTTTTTTTTTCAAACTTAAGACACGACTGTAATAATATAAAAAAATACATTTGAATTGAACAATGAATATTATTTTGAGTATTTTCTGTATATGATTAAAGTTCGCTCACAGAACATATTCTAAAAACGAAGAAAACTCTTCTTGGATTTCAATATTTGGATTTTAGTCTTTGAAGATGAAATATATTTAAGTAAGAATACTCGAATTTTATTACTAAATGGTGTTAAGAAAGAAAAAGCTGATGTTTACCTTTTTTAAGCATTATTTTTATAACTTATTGTTTCGAAAAAATAAAACAAATTGACTATTTTGTATTTGTAATTGAAAGAGATATTGAATTATGCTTTGTTTTGTCAACGTTCTATGTGAAATTCATTTTTGACATTGTCCTTTTCTCTTCTTTAACTCAAATTCATCCTTCATGGTTAAGTCTAATTCCATTCAACACGTTATAATTATTTTGTGAAAAGACAAAAAAAAAACGTATAGAATAATAAAGAATAATTTAGACATTTATAAAAATAAATACTAAACCATTGATGAATATTCTATGTAGGATATATTACTCTACACTTTTTTTGATGAATGCACTTCCTAAAACTTGAAATTCAACATTGAACACAATTATTAAATTCAAATGACTTTTTAAAATTATACAAGTTATTCCGCTTAGTTCAGAAAAGGCTTTAGATCAAAGAGAACGTCTATTATTAGTAGTCTCAAAACGATATACTATATAATGGTTACAGAAGAACAGTAATGAAGCAATAATCGTTAGTAAAAATTAGACTAGAACTATAGTCATAAATTCATATAGGAATTGAGTAAAATCAAAATTGTTAGAAAAAAACAACATGTGCTCTTGCTTCTTTTCCTGATTAAATTCAATATTTCGAAAGATGATTCTGAACTTGTGAAAGTGAAATGCATCCTGAATTCTTTTTGAGTTTCCATTGCTAGGTGCAAGAAACATCTTGGTACATATAAAAATGATAGAATAGCAGGTGTGAATGCACTTTCATTTTTTTGAGAACGGAAACTCTTTATATCCTTAATGCCTGTAATGATCTATAACGTAATCGAAAAAGCCTTTCGAATGAAGACTAGGTGTCGATGTGAAGAGAAAGCTGATACATTCACCCATACCTTTTAGACCTGTTCAATATTGATTATTGGATATACATCAAATAATTCCATTATAAAAATATTGATTCGAAAATGCATGCAGATTAATTACCATTTATTCGAAAAAATCTCGCAAAACAGTCATCAATTAAGAAAGACTGACAGGGGCGGCGGAAGAATTTTGTGAATGCTGGATCTAAGTTTCAGAGCATGGGACCCAAATGAAATTTATGGAAGATGATATTGGACCCAAATGATGAGGTTTTATGAAAAAAAATTGCCGATTGGAGTTTGCGAAAAAAAATTTTTTTTTCCTGATCCTCACCTAGATTTTTCTTTTTCTGTTACTAGTGCTTCGTTTTTTA